CAAGGACAGATGAGCCCACCTCCCAGTCTCCCTGCCAATGACACAAGTAGTTTCCTAGCTACTAAATTCTTCTTATTAATGGTGCCCCCATGCTCTGACTTGGTCTTTTAAGAGAATATGGAAGTTAGTGGAATCCGAAGGAGCTGAGTGAAGCCCAAGTGCTGCCCACACCATTCAACCAGCAGATGCTAAGGGTATGCCTAAGCTGAGGTAATGCCTGCTCATACATCACAGTGGTAAAGAGAACGTGGTTTTCAGGGCCATCTACCATACTTGAAAAATGGCATTTTTGGAGTCTGTATATGAAACTGTCATGGGAAATACTGTTATCAAAAGTAAAAGTACCCACAAGATGTTTTTTGTTGATTTTATCATTTATTTAGATGGATAAGTGTTGTACCCACGGTGCAATGTCTGACTCTATCTCATGTAAGTGACTTCTAAAAGGGAGAATTCTAATGACAGCTAACTGCTGAGTTTTTGAGACAAAATTCCCAGGAATAATTATGAAATTTTTTTGTGCCCTCTTTTTTCCCTACCTCCTCATCTTTCTTTTCTCCTTCCTCCTCTCTCCCTCTTTGTCTTCTTTCTCCTTCTTTTTGCAAACAATTCTAACAAAAATCCAAAACCAAGACTGATTGAAGTCATTTAAAGATAATGTGGCTTTCCAAATAACTCCTTTCTAAACTTTGTGGGTCAGAATTCAGCCATTTAGACACATCTGCATTATGGCAGACCATGTAGACCATGTACAAATTCAAATGTAAAATGCCTTGTCACTCTTCTTTTTTTTATATATCTATCTGCAGATATTGATGTAGCAATATATTGGATATTATACCTCTACAACATGTGTCATATTTGGTCTTGACAAAACTTTAAGAACAGGATATTGTATCATTTTATTACCATGGCATTTTTACACGGAGGTAAACTGAGGCTGAGTAATTCCTTACTTGATTAAATCCTCACTATTTCATTATAAGGCACTGATATGGTCAGAAGTCAATAAAAGTTAAGTTTTGGCTCTTCACTATTATGTTCTTAGATATAGACCTTCAAATTTCCCATCCACTGAGTTGTATTCAGATAAGCTAGAAGCATGGAGGTAACTCAAATTATGACTTCTGCTGCTCAGTCTTTAGCAGTATACATATTCTTCTCGTATTTTAAAACACCCAAGGCTTACATATGAAGTTCTTACCCTTGTAGCAAAATGAAGAGGACGCTCACAGAGTAGGTACAGGCTCTCCAGTTCTTTCCTCTTGTCGTGATTAAAGTCAGATCTGCTCACATATATTCACATTGACCATGAATGTCAGTACACATTGCACTGTTTTCACCTTTGCGCGCATGTACTTAAAATAGCTGATACTTCATATCCAAGTAAGTCCTTCTGGGTACTGGAAATATTTTACCTGTTTGATATGACTGAGCATTCAACCACTGCATGATGACTTCATTAGCTGTAAAGGAAGGTACATTATGCTGATGTATATCACACACAAGGCAAATGTCAAAATTTTACCTGACAAAGAAAAGTAAAAATTTGAGTAACTATGAATTTCCAGGAATGTACATTTACTTACACCTATTTGTTCTGAAAATATTTTGGTGTTGATAAGTGCTGCAATGTCAATAAAGATTCAATATTCACATATAGGATTTTTTCTGCTTTAAAAGTACATTTGAATAACGTGCTAGGTTAAGTTGTGTATCCTTTGTCCCAAACTCTTAGGTTGACTTCCAACCTCCAGAAACTCAGAGTGTGACCTTATTTGGGCTTATGAATTCTGCTGCTAAGTCTTTAGGGCTTTTGTAGAGCCAATGAAGCTCATGTGAAATTAGTAGAAGTGGACATTTGGACAGAAACGTGCAGAGAAGGTGGAGATACGAAGAGATGCAGGGAGAAAATGGTCATCTGCAAGCTGAGAACAGAGACCTAGAATAGGTGTCCCCAGACTCCAGAAGTAGCCAACCCTGACGATGCCTTGGTTGGAGCTTGTGACCTCCAGACCCATGACACAATAAATGCTTTTGTTTAAATCACGTCAACAATGGTACTTTGTAATGGTACTTTTGGGAAACAGGGATGGCATTTTGAACTGCTGGCTTACATACATTAATGTAAATAGACTTTATTTCCTGTGCTGAAAAGACTTTGATTTTTGTTTAAATGTTGTAATTGCTTGAAACACAAAAATTATAGAATTATTCCTGAACATATCTTTCTACATATTTTTCTCTACTTAGATGAATTAATATTTAAAATTTCCTCTTATTAAATATTGTAAGAGTTTCTTTAGCCTACTTTTTTTTTTGCAGTACTGGGATTCAAACTCAGGGCTTCACACTTGCTAGGCAGGTGCTCTACCACTTGAGCCACTCCTCCAGTCATCCTATAAGAGTGTGTTTGTTTTTGTTGCCCAGGCTGGCCTTGGACTCTCCATCCTCCTGCCTCAGTCTCCTGAGGGCTGGGATTATAGGCATGCACCACCTTACCCAGCTCGTAAGAATTTCTTTCAAAAGTCAAATAAAAATAGTGAGACAGGGCAATTGTAATGAGCTTATTTTATACTCTGCTTAGAAAATACTTAGGATATTTTATTTCTTCCAGTGATATAAGTACTGTGTTTTAGTGGAGAAATTTTTGCTTCAAAAAAGGTATCTGATTTTCTGTAGAATTAGTGGGGATTTATTTTTACCACATAATTATGAAAGTTCCCATATGAGTGCAAATTACACAATCATTGTCATTGTGTAAGTTAGTTATAGACTCAATTTTCCCAAAGCAAATTCTGATGCCTATAAGTAATGCAGAAGAGCTTTTTATATTAAAGGAGAGAGAAGGAAGGAAGGAAGGAAATGGTCAGTCAAGAATAGCACAGTATGATCCTGCATAGGAAACCATGGTGGCGCTTAAAAAAATCAAACTTTTATAACTTTTCCAAGGTGATTTAAAGCACATGGATTTTTAAAACTAGACACTGCCTAGCGTTCCTTACAATGAACCGTATTCAACATCAGTGAAACTGAGATAGTTAGAGCTTGCGGGAGATTTTGGTTAGTTTTTTTTCCTAAATATGACCATTAAAACTGAAACTGTTTTCCTCAGAGATGCATTAGTGAGAGTTGAGATTTGGTCAAGGATAGTTGAAAAGATGGCATATTTAAAAAAATAGAACTATCACATAAGTGGCTACCTAGAGATGTTTGTTAATTTGTCTCTAAAACTTATCTCTTGGTTCTTTTTTGGTTTTTCAAGTATTTTAAAGAATGGCATGATAAACTCTGCAGAACTGACTCAGTATCTTTGCCATATTGCAAATGAGGGCTGCCTTCTTCTAGCACCTGAGTATTTCCCAGGTTGACTCCCAGCAATGGGGTAAATTCCAAGATTACAGTTTCAGAGATGTTTACCAAATACCTAAAAACTAAGGACACTTTATTTTCTTTATTCTGTTTATTCAGTGGGTTTTCCAAACTAGGAGGAAAGAGGCAGGGTTTGATTAACATTCTCTCATTCTGTGATTATAATGGATTCCTACAATTCAAGAGGAAAATAAATGAATCCTTTCACTGCTTTGTACTGTGGTATCTCCAACAGCATCCAGTATCAGATTTGAAAAAAGTGTCTGCAGTCTTCCTCTAGTAGATGGCATGTTTGAGATTGTGAAAGAAAGTAAAACAAGTGTAGTCGGTTATACAGTAGCCAGATGATTTAATCGGTCATCTTACTTTTATTTCAGTTTGTCTAGACTAGTGAGAGAACAGTATAAATCAAGTTAAAATAAAGAAATGAAGGTGTAGTTTCTAAATTATAGACAGAGATTTTTACTTTTTTGTTAAAAATAGTTCAAAATTTAAATTTTAGAATGTCTCTAAAGAAACAATTTCTATGTATGATCTGTTCAAACTTTCTTTTTTCACATTTTGTAAGCCACCTTTATGTGACTTTTTCTATGATATAGATAGATAATTGATGGCTAATGCAATAGAATAATACTCAATGTAAATGACATATGTCTCCTTTATATATATATAAATACATGTGTATCTTTACATACATAGTATTAACAGTGATAAAAATGCAAAGTAGTGGTTTTTTACTTTATCTTGAAGGAGTTCCAGTGTTTTACAATTGCCCTATCTGAACCTCTATTCCCATCAATATGAAAATATTGCTGTAAAGATTAAATTTTGAAATTGGTAACATTTAGCTTAGACACTACTGATAGCAAGGAAACAATAAATTAAATAATTCACTATAATTGAACAAATACACATATATTTGTAAATTTTATGTGAAAGTTAAGATTCAAAAGTATATTCACCAGTGTTAATAAGTCTAGCCCTGTAAAGATTATCCTACATCATACAAGTTCCATTCACAGCCATTACTGTCCTGGGACTTAGACTTCAGACGATGCTAAACCCAGTCATGGTGGGTCATGCTGCCCAAGTCATGGGATTTATCCCTTGATCCAAAGGCATGCTCTGTAACCCTTTCTTGGCCTTTTGCATCTATGAAAGTATTATAATAAAAATGTGAAATATGAGAAAACTATCCCTAAAACAGATGCTCAACTTGAGCCCTGCCTGTGGTCCATTCTTTTGGGATCCACAGTCATCCAGGCTGGAGCATCAATTTTCATTTCTGTCTCTCCTCATTTTACTTCTTTGTTTTGAGGGGTACTTACAGATGTTGGCTTTCAGGAACACTGATGACCAGGGACCATATTAAGACCACTACATCAGTTTGCAAAGGCCAGAGAGAAGAAGGAAAATGGAAATTACTTTCAGATATTACTAATCTGTACCAGGTTTGGATTGAGAGAAGAGCATAAAGCATTCTGTGTTTTATCCCTCCACACTTGTTTCCCTTGTTCTTCAATCAGCTTCTGTGTTTAAAGGGTTCTTTTGAAATGTTTTCACTTAAGCATAGGAAATGATGACCTTCACTCAACCTGTGACTTCTTTTTTGTTCTTTTTCTCCTTAGGGATGCAGATCTCTTCCTGTTAGACACAAGAAAAGCCCAAGCTTTAGATGTGGGTTGGCTTGTCTTTGATATCACTGTGACCAGCAATCACTGGGTGATTAATCCACAAAACAACTTGGGCTTACAGCTTTGCGTGGAAACCAGCGATGGTAAGCACTGAATTTCAGTATTTTGTGGGACTTGTTTTGACACATTGTGGGTCACTGCTTTCTCTGTGATTTAATCAATGTTTGCTTTATCCTGATCTACAAGGTAACACATTCCATAAGATTGTACAATATATTCGATTTATGAACACACTTATTCACTGCACACTATTTGTCAGGCTTTGGGGTCTAAGGTTAAGGAAAAGAGGTGCAATTCTTGCTCTCCAGGGATTTTTAGTCTTGTGCTAAAGATCCATGTGCAAATAAGTAACACTAATGTAATATAATAATAAGGAAAGATAGCTATGTACAATGCTACTTTATTTTGGTTGTGGTGATGGTTACACAACTATATAATTTGCAAAAACATAATACAACAGTTCATCAAAGAAGAGTGACTATTACTGTTTGCAAATTCTATCTTAAAACATGACTAGAATATATTTATATTTATATTTAAGTGCTAGGAAAACAAAGGCGGTGCCAGTTACACAAGGGAGGATGGAGGATGGAGATAGAACAACAATCACACATCACAAACTGCAGAAAATAATATCATATGCTGTTAACACGCTGCAATATTTGGTCAAAGACAAGTGCTCCAGTTCATCTGTGGAGGGATATGTAGGAAATCTTCGTTTATTAGGAGCCCCAGGAAAAATTATAATTCTTCTGCTCACTGTTATGCACTTTGTTCGATCTGGGGATACAGTAGTAAGCAGACGCAGAGACAGTGTTGTGAGGTTGGCAGCAGAGTGAGGTATAAGCCAGGAATCACACATCAGTATTAGAGAATGCCTGCCTGTATGTGTGCAAAAATGTCCAGGGGACACAAGAACAGAGAACAGAGAGCGATTGTGAGCTACAGCCCTAAAGACAAAGAAAAAGTGATTAGGGGAAGGGGACAGACATTTCAGACAAAAGGAACAGAACAAGGGTAGGCTGTGGGAAGACCTTTAGCATCATCAGTCAAGTGGTCAGGGAAGCCAAGGCCAAACTTCTCTGAGTCCACAGAGTACAAGTTAGGACACAATTTATTAACTGGTGTGTTAGTTTGATTAATGAAGTTTTAAGTATTTAGAAATATACGATGAACTTCTACCCCATGTGCATGCCCCCACCCTACAAACGTTACAATCAGGATGGTGAGCTTTAAAAAATTATTAATAAGAGGACCTACCTTGTTTAAGTTTCACTGCCTTTATCTCAAAATCAGTCAAGAAAACATTAGATCCAGAGTCTGTCTCTTTCATTCCTCTTTGGCATGACAGTAAAATCTTGCTTAATAAACTACAGAGTTAGTACAGGTTTGATCTGTATGGGGCCTCTTTCAAGGGAATTCACTGCTATACACACTAAGACATCATGGTGGATTTTACCTATTACCATCTTCTTTCGATAGCATCATAAGCAATGTCATTCCAGGATTGCATATACATGCATGTGTACATATGTATATAGATATATATATATATGGCAGTTGACTGACACAAATTAAACAGATCACAAGGTTAGTCTAGTGAAGGTTTTGTGTGCTCTAAATCCTGATCTAGAAAGAGAAAATTCTTATAGAAAGTATTTCAGACTTCTCTTCTGCTCCCAAATCCAGACTTTTTCCATAGATTTTAATTGCAATGCTGAATTTTTGTCAACAATTTAAGTATTTTGGATTATAGGTTATTTTCCAATTATGGCTTTGAGATTATTGTTGGGGACCCTCAGAGTTCAAGCGTTATAAACGTAGACTGAGAAAAGCACATATTTAAATAATCTTCCAAGAATTCTTACAATGTTAAACTACTGTACATTTATGGTCAGAAATGTGACTGGGGAGTCGGTACTGTGGGGGTGAACCAGTTGTTTCTTCCCTGGTATGTGGCCCAAGCAAGAAAAATTGAATTAGTGGTATGTGCTTCTCTCAGTCTTCTCCTGGGGGATATGCCTGAAATGTCTAACTAAACAAATCAAGAAATCTATGAAATGCGATCGGCCTGTTTCCTTCTAATTTCCATCTCTCCCTCGCCCCATGTGATGTTCTGAAGTTTCTCTTTTTTGCTTTTCTCCCCCTCTTTAGTTGTATTGCTTTTTTCTCTTTCTTTTACTATTTAAGTTCTGTCTTGCTGTGAATTTATATTTTTCTTGGGGAGAATTTATATTTTGAGTTTCTGTTTCTCCCTGATTTAATTCTCTTATATTCCATGGGTAATTTTACGTTAAAGTACTGTTCTATTATTTATCTTTTTGAACCTAAAATGATTAAACTAACATTTTGCTCCTTTCAAAGATTTCAGTTTTTTTAAACTTAAGAATGAGGTTTGAAGTATACAACCTTCTCTAATATTTTTTGCTTTTCTTTGTTTCTCTAATATTGCTGAACACAAAGACTACTAAAATGGTTAAGTGTCCCAGGCTAGCTGGCTTCTTGTGTTTAAGCAATCCTTCAAACAAATTTTAACCAGAAGCAAAGCATACAAGGCCCCGAGAAAGCAAGTGACTTCATACACAATATACCTGCGACACTTTTCTGTAAATGTGAATAACCAGATACTTTGGATATCACAGCCTCACTCATTATCACTGCTTCAAACAGAGATAACACACCATCTTTTATTTGCAACACTTGGATTCTGAATATGTTTCCTTCTCAGCAAAAAGCAATGGAAATCATAAATGGACGACACTCAGAAAAGTCTTCTTTCAAATTCATGTATTGTCTGTTACTCGTTTGTCCAACATAAAATTATTGAGTAGCTATACGTGTGAAACACGACATGTTAAGAAAGCATAAAATGGGGGATAGATGTACATAGCTAAATTCAGAAAGCATAAAGCTCAAAATAGTGACACACAATTAAGACACTATGGGAAGGCAAAGGAGAAAGTATGGAAAAATACAACAAAGCCAAAAGAGCCATGGTGGAGTTGGCCTTTAAAGCTGGGTCAGCTGGGTATGGTTTTAAGAAATAGGGATGGAGAAGGAAGGAGGTATGGGGGTGTGGAGTGGTATTAAAAACGGGAAATCACTCATTCCTGGATGAGTGCACACTCTACTGACATGACACAGTCAGACAAAAGTCACAGTCTACAATTGGCTACAACAATTCTCCCGAATAAAATATGGTTACAGATGTTAATAGGAAAGTGATCTGGGGAGAAATGATAGGCAGAACATGAAATTTAAATTAAGTGTAATCTACACTTGTAGCTTGACCATGAGTTGTAAAAGACATAGACTTCTGCTTTCATCAATCACAGCAACCCAACAGGACTCTGTGTGTGCAAGGACGTAAGTTTCATGAGGTCGTGCGAGGTACACCTCTCGTTCACAACTGAATCTCCAGTAGCTGGTACAACGCTGGTCATAGACATTAAAAACCTGCCTTGAGTAGTTTGGATGAGTTTGTAAGTAAACGTGGCTTTTGTGGGCCACCTGTCACCGAATGTGTTACTCTAGAGCAGTTATTCTGAACTGTGAGTTTGGGAGGAATATTATCCAGACCAGTTGAAAATGAAGCAGGAGCAGAGTTTTGGGGAGCAAACCACAACTCACTAGTTAAATACTTGATACCATAAGGTGGGGAGAAAGTCAGTGATAGAGGCCACTAGAATTTGTTTATTCTGCCTCTGTGAAGAAAAAAATAGCGAAGAGGTCTAAATATATTTTGGAAGGCAAAAGTAGCATTATGGCTCCTCTGAGGACCTGTGGAAAATATGTCAGTTTGTGGAATAATCTTTTTAGAGATTTGACAAATGAACCACAATGGATTTGGCAAGAGAGTTTAAGGTTATTTTATTGAATATTTTTTCATGCTGGAGAGATAATTCTCTAATCTCTGTATATGTTTGTTTCAGCAAAATAAAGCAAACCTATGAACAAGCAAATGCAAAAGAAACATAGCTGCTTCTCACCACACACTCTGGGAAGTACCGGGAAGTTGTTTCATCCAGCCCTGCAAAGTGCTCTCATGGTGGTCAACAAACCTCCATGATAAAACAGGCACTATTTATGTTTTTAAGGGCAAACCAGGAGGCCTAGGTCTACGCTGTAATTTATTGTAAGATTTTTCAGCCCCTTAAATTCTAAAGTTACTTTAATTATCTGACTTATTGAGTCTTATTAATTTTCCTTATGATTGATGGCAATGTTTTTTTCCCACACACACTGCACATGGTTTATTACATAGATAACAATTTAATCTTCTTTTAAGACTTGGGTTTTTCCCTCCACTATAATTTCCATTGTTTGATACTTTATAGAGTCTAAACCTTCCAAGTAAATTAATTCTTTTTTTCTTTCAAACATGGGTTTATAGAATAAGTTAAAGATGGAAAAACAAAGATAGTGTTTTGGGGTTCATTAGAATGGCTTTTAAAAAGCCCTGTTTTCAGACGTTTTAGTTTTGGCAATATGCAGAATGAATTTTGCCAGTGACTTTTTCCCTTCTTATTCAAACCCACTTATTTGTCAAGGAAAATTCAATCCATATGTTTCTGATTCATTTGTATTCAGGTCATCAAAGTGTTGTTCAATGTCCAAGAAGCAGCAGACTCTTTAAAATAAGACAGCAAAGGTCATTTTCCTTTGAACATCATCATGGCTTAATTTCCAACTATATCAAGGTTGAACTTCAGGCTTAAATTCACAGATTTCAAAGTTTCATTAAATTTTATACCCAAACAAGAAATTAAACTGTCAAATTGAATTCCATTACAATTGATGCATAAGTGTCAAAGAAAGACATTTATATATCATTCTTGCTCATAGACAAAGTTTTGATATTTAATTTAAATGAAAATAAATAAATATATCTATTCTGGATATATAAATCCTAAGAGAAGTTATGTGGTGTGTCTGCTAAGTACACACACAAGTTATTTTATGATAAAGTTTCTATAGACGATTTAAAAGAGTTTAGACAAATTCACAAGTGGTAGTCTGCAGGGGAAAGGCAAAATTAAACAGTTTTGTTGTCAGGCTCATGATTACCAACTTTGGTGGATAA